AATTCAATCACGGCTTGAGATCTGAGGAAGCTTTCCATTGTGGAAAGTACTTTCCTCGACTTGATCCCAATTTTGGATCGCTTGGAGTAGCTCTGTTTTTTGGGCCCTAAAATTGCTTGGAAGTTGTTGGCTCAATGATGGCCAGCACCGAGGGGGCAAGAATTGAAGGCTGAAGGCTTTGACCGAGTTGTGTTTAAGGGGTTGGCCAAGGCCCTGGATATTTCACACTAGGATTTTCATTGGAGAGAGTGGGGTTTGAGGAGGGTGCTCTTCTGGGGAAGCGCCTTGTGGACCGTTGAGATGGGTACGACGATCCCAACAAGGGAGGAATTGTAGGTCCTGCTCTGTCATAGGAAATACTGGATTGGAGGTTTGAGAGTTCTCTAGAGCCCTTCCCACTTTTTCTAAACCTAGTCTGTGTATTGGAGTTAAAGAAATCTCGGACTTCCTTGTCTGACCTGTCATACTTGAAGCCCATGACCTTGAGAAGTTCTTGGATGTCTCCCTGTGAGTTGTCCATCCCTTCCACAATGTTAGAGTCAACTAAGAGGAGTGAAGAAGATTGGGAACTTGCTGGAGTGGCCGGGTCACTGGTGAAACTGTGGGAGGGGGAATATGCATTTCCGTCCTGCCATGATGAGGTCCTCACATAGGGTAATGGGGGCATGCTAGGTGGTGGGAGATGAGAGTGGGCCGAGAGAGTAGAAGGGGGGGCATGGGGATGGGGATGGTGGCCAGGGGGAGAGGGCTAAAGACATTGGGCTGCTCCTCATTCCAAGGCAGTTGGCATTCTAGATGAGGAGAAGGCTCGAGTGGGATAGAAGCTAATGGACGAGGATAGAGAGGGTTGGGTTGGGATAAGATGTGGGAAAGGCAGGTGACAAATCGAGTGGGGGTATGAGAGGGAGTCCACCAAGAGAGTGTAGGTAATAGTGCCGAATGCTTGGGTAGGAGAAGGTGAATGGTAGGGTTGGGAAGAGGAGGACCGGGATTAGGGGGAGGATGTGGTAAGCTGCTATTCGAGAGGCCCGAAGGGTGATCAGAAATGGAAGGAGGGGTAGGGCTGAAAGAGTGGGACAAAGAAGCAGAGGGAGGGAGTTGGAAGGGGAGTGGGGTGAGGGAAGGGCGGACAAACGTTGGTGAAGCAAGGGTCCAAGGTGGGATTGCAAGGGGATTCCAAAGAGAGGGGAGGGCTATTCTGAGGCAGGGAAGGGGTTGGTTCCATCGGCTTTGTAGAGTTAGGACTATGAAAAGGAGTAGGGAAAGATAAGGGTAGTGATAAGGAGATGGTGGTCAGGGTTTGCGGGTGCCAGGGTTGCTCCGTTTTGGGGAGGAGAAAGAGGGAGAAGAGAGGCCGAAAGTCGAGGGGGCAGGTGGGAGGAAGTTGTTGTAGGAGGGTTGCTAGACGGGCTAGCAAACGAGGGGAAAGTGGGGGCTTATCCTTTAGCCAAAGAGGAGGTGGGAGGTAGGTTATCTGCTGTTGAGGCGTCCTTAGGATGCCATGGAGACAAGGAGGATAAGTTAAGAATGTCCGTGGGAGCGTGGGAATGCTGAAGCTTTGGGATAAGGGAGGGGCCGACCTTCTTCGTGGGATGAAGCTCAGAAAGGGGGAGGTCAGGAAGAAAGGGATGGGCTATCCAAAGGTGGAATGGAGCTCTGGAGGGGGTCGGCAGAGGGCAGTAGAGGCCGCCGACAAGTCTTGGGAAGTGGAAGATGGAAGGGTAATCGGTGAGCCCTTGATAGGCTCGGGGATGCCTCAAGATCCCGCTTGTGTTTGATAGGGCGACTGTTCTTGCCAGGTGTCAATATTGTGGGGGGATCGGTCAGCAGTTCAGGCTCGTGTGAAAAGCTCAAGGGTGGGAAGCTTTTCTCGTGTGTGCACGGGCTGGGTTTATCTGAAGGTATGTGTCGAGCAGAGGAGAAAGGGTAATCTCGAGTAGGCATGTGAAGGGGATTGACATGTCGGGCATGTGGAAGTTGAGTCAGCTGGGTGGGAAAGAGAGGGAGTTGGGGGCAAGAGGGTAGGGGAGACCAAAGGTGTAGACTGGACAGTTGGGGTATTGGGGCTGGGTTGATTTTCTATGGTCAAGATAGGGGGTTATGGATTGTGGGCCAAACTTGGGCGGGCTAGCCATCTCGTTTGTGCATCCAGTCCCAGGAGGGTGGCGCTGTCCCCTACAATGATGGCGATGACAGGTATGATCCCCCTTCTTACGGACCACGGTAGTCCAATCATCTTGGTCTACAAAGGGGGCCTTACTGTGGTCTTTGGATTGTACTCCATGCACTCTCGACGGTGGTCATGAGCATGGCCAGAGGAGGGTTGGACGGTAGCATTGAACCAGGCTGTCCATATGCAGAAAGAAGGCCCACAGCTTCTAACCATAATTGGGGATATGAAGTGAGGTTTGATGGACTCAATGAGCATCTGAATGGCTCCCAGAGGCAAGAACTCAGATGATTTCTAGTGCACTGAAATAAAGGAGCTGTAGGCCTCTCTTATCGTCTTGAAGGTTTCTGTGTGCCAAGCGTGAAGAGGATGCCGAAGGCACGCAGCCAAATATTCCGTTTGGGTGTGGCTCCCAGGCTTTGGATCCAAGTAGTCAAGGTAAGAGAAGCACCTTTAAAAGTAGGTTTGCTGCCCTGGAGAGCTTTTTGGGTGCTGGAAGCTGATGAGAATGTGAAAAGAAAACCTTCCACCAGGTTAGGTTCATTCCATAAGCTCTGAACTCATCTTTCAATCCCTCTCATGTCATCCCTCCGAGGATGACACTGGCCCACCAAGGACGACTCCAACCTTCCTTTGAGAATAGGTATGTGATTGCCCTGGAGGGGGATGAAGTTAGACGATGAAGACTTTGGAATGGGTGAATTGGCAGAGACCTGTTGAGTAGGAGGTGGAGCACAGTTCAGGTGAAGCCAAAGGGTTGGGGAGCTGGGACAAGGCATGGGCTACCAAGGGAGATGAGAAAGGAAGAGATGAGGAGTTTTGAGCTAGAGGTCTCGGAGGCTTGAAGAGATGAGCATAGTTGTGGTAGAGAGGAGGGAAAGCAGGGAGAGGATGTCTGTCTGAAGATGCCATTGAAGGATTCTCCTTGATTTTCTTGATATTTTGTATTCGTATATTATACCATCTGAATCAATCATGTTCTCATAAATTCCTGTGAGTCATGGAAAAAGAATGCCTTCTATGGATGCTTTTATGCCCTTTTAGTGGTGGTATTACTTGCACAAGACAGTCAGCCTGGCTCTTGGGTCCTTAGAAGTGCTTTTTTTTGGGTAGATCAATGGGGAATACAGGCCCCTACCCATTTTTAGACTAGTGGGAATGAAAACCTAGACAGGTAGCTGAGACTCAGGGGTGCTACCACAACAACCGCAACCCCATTCCCCCTTATGGGATCTTTAACCATTGTATACTTGACAAGTAAAGACTCAGTGAAAAAGCTTAGCATACATGAAGTGGTAGTGCAGAACAAATCTGAAATGAAATGAATACAATTGAAGGTAGGTTGGGAAGGAGTTAGCTTTATGGGTTACATCAACAAAGTTGGAAGTTTAATAAATTATCAAAACGTGGAAATCCCTCCTAGTATCTTAACTTCTATGTCTCTATGTACCTTGCAGCCTTTCTTACCACAAATTTGAATCAACCACTTGCCTGCTCAAGCAGCTCATGTGTTTGTCTATGTGACTTTTGACTCCTGCATTGGAATGTTCTTGATCGTATTTGCACATGTGCTGATAGATCTAAACCTAATCCTTGCTCATTTCCATGTGTTGTCAGTACTCTTTACCTCTAAATGGAAGCCTATTACAATTTTATAGACCAAATTTTCCTGATGCGTGTGATTCACCATAAATTGGAGCAATTTATGAATTGTGAATGTCCCTCTCTCCCTCCCTCCTTCCCTCCCTCCCTCCTCTCTCTCTCTATATATATATATATATGCTACCAAATGCTAGTCACTGAGTGTAACAAATCATCTGATTTTGTCTTCTTGCTAGTGAAAAAATGAATCATGACATCTTGTTAACTCTCATTGTTACATTATGTGTGTAGCCAAACGTCTGATCACTTCCAAACTAAGTTTTTTTGGGTAAGTACTTCCAAACTAAGTTCTTAATGAAAATCTTCGAGTTTTCTACCTAAATTATTCATCAAATTTATAATTATATACTTCCACTGATGAGTAGCTCCTTCAGTCATTATGCATTGGAGCTGTTCTAAACATTGCAACTCTCCATCTTTCAACTGCCTTCTCCTCTGGACTGCACTTCATCTAGGTGCACCAGCAATGACTATTGAACTTTTTAGTTCTTGCACTCATTTTTTTTTAGTTCTTGCAACTCTCCATCTTTCAACTGCTTTCAACTTTTTAGTTCTTGCACCAGTCATTTATTTTTTTTCCCTCAAGAAAATTACTATTGAACTTTTTAGTTCTTATGAACATCTCTCGTATCAGTACCATGCCTTTTTGCACTCATTACATGTGAGCCAGCATCTTGCACTCATTGAGTGTTGATAGAAGAGTTTGACAAGTTCGACGACAATGAGCATTAATAAAATTAACAAATACAAATGGAATGGGGATTTATGTGAAAGCTCGTTTGCTACAAATAGGTATATCAAAACAAATAAGAAAGAAATTAGCATGAGGTCAGTATGCAACTACAATATTTTGCATTTGTGTTTCTAGGGAAAATCTTCCAGCGACTGGTCCATCAGGTGGAACAAAGGCTGAAACCTTGATCAGATTATTGGTGAAGTGGTCTCAACTATATTGGAAGCTTTTCTTTTGCTGTATGATTATTGTAGCAGTTGAGTTCTGATACTTGTTCTTTATTGATAACCTTCCAAGAAATTCATACCATTGCAAAACTCTGCCCAAATCATGTTTTCACGGTCTTTGGTTGGTGAAATGTAGCTATAAATAATAAATCGAAATGATGACAGTATTCCTGATTCATTTGATTATTTGAACGAATCTGCAATTCAGGGTCTTATGGAATATCACAAGGACATTGTTGATTACTTCAACCGGAGGGGTATTTCTGCAATATTTCTATTTCGACGGAATCTCCTCCACCGGTTGGTTTCAGTACTTGCAAATGCCTATGATCGTGATGCAAAGCAATTAAATGGCACACACAAATCCCATGTACACTCAAAGCAAGAGGTCTCTCTCTCTCATTCTCTCTCTCTCTCTCTCTCTCTCTCTCTCTCCATTTTACATTATTCAGAATTTAGTTTGTATCCTGGATTTCAGGCAGAGGTGCTAGCAAAATACAAGCCAACGATTGATAGCACATTATTAATAACAAACCTAAAACACATAGAAGACATTACTGCTGATGCCCTGAAATTTTTCAAGAGCACTCGCCTTATAATACTCTACTATGAAGATCTCATCAACAACCAAAAGGTAACCTGTTAGAGAGAGAGAGAGAGAGAGAAGAGAGAGAGAGAGATGCTGAACTTCTGGCTGTCATTGTTTTGCAGAAGTTAATGGATGTTCAAGAGTTCCTTAGAGTGCCTCGTAGGGATTTGCAGAGCCATCAAGTTAAGATTCACACCAGGCCCATTTCGGAGCAAGTGGAGAATTGGGATGATGTCTACAATACACTGAAGGGCACCCAGTATGAAATCTTTCTCAATCAATCAGACTACGCATCTAATTGATATGTTTCTTCATAGGAAACACAAGTTAAGCTCTGGATGTTGTAAATATGCCCGTTCTCATTCTTTATTCTTAACCCGAGGGACCATCAGACCGCTTACCCCACCTCATCTGTAATTTGTCTGATGCACATGAGAATTTTGACTAATGCACCAGCATCACGTGTTTTTGCTCTCACTGAAGCCTAAGTTAAATCACTAGCAGGCTGCCTTATGGTTGTAATATGTTGCAAGATTTCAATGAAATCTGAGGTTAGTTCTCGATTAAGATCTCTCAAATTTGTTCCTTTTCCATTGATATTCAAAAGAGAACTTTCCAATCAATACCCGAAATGTAGATTTTTTTAAGATCAAACTTGGATTTCTTTTTTCAGCTATTTGGAACAAATTTGTTCTTTTTCCATTGATATTCAAAAGAAAATTTTCCAACGAATACCAAAAATCTAGATTTTTTAATATCAAATTAGGATTTCTTTTTTTGGCTGTTTTTGAGACGCAAGTTGCTTATTTCGAGATTCCTCTCTAGTTTTCAATCAGAAGTCTTTGAAAATTTGTCTCCTTTTGTTCTTATTGGTCTTACTTCTTGATTTTCTCTTACTTATCTACAGGATCCATATTAAAAATTTTCGACCGAAGCACCCAATTTTTTAATAAATTGAATAACTTTTTTTAATAAACCAAATAGTTTTAATCTGTTTTTATTTCTCAGTTCTCTCCAAAACCTTGGATTTGAGGCGTTTTGAATCGATCCCCCTTTTTTTTTTGAATAGTTTTAATTCCTAAAATTTTAAACTAATATAAATCAAAAAAAAAAATTCGATTCTTTATGGTCGTTCTTTCTTTTTGTGCCACTCTTTATCTTTTCTGTGTTATTTTTATAACTTTGGCAACTGACATGGCTGGTTCGACCACGATTAGTGGTTGACCCCATTTGTGTTTTCCAACACCGTTCTCAGAAGAGCCAAAATTAATATTCATGGGTTGTGTTTTGGTTGCAATATGTTAAATCTGAGACTATATGGCATGGCTTTCGCAACTCTCTAGAAAATGGGAATTGCTTTCTCGGCGTGATGTTAGATTAAACTGCAATGAGATGAGTTACGACTCGACCGGACCTAGAACACACAAACTCTCTCTCTCTCTCTCTCTCCCCTGAATCGTGTTGGTTATACATATTTACATCCACAGAAAGGTGCGTGACTGATGATGCTACATTAATCTTTTGTATTGTCAGTACAAGAATAGGTCCGATGAATGACAAATTGGTCCACAATCCGGACAGTGCTTAATGGGTCGTGATTAGACACGGCTGCACTCCACTTACTTGGGTATCTCCTCAGATGGCTGAACTTTTGCTGCTGCTTGAGCTCACCGTCCCAATCTGGATCTAACTTCCAATCTTTCGGAACCTGTTCATCACAAATTGAAATTAACCTCAAAACCAACTATGAGTGACCATTCTGATATCCCCATGTCAATACATCCAATGGTCAACAGATAAAAACAACAGAATTCAAATAGGGAATTCATACTTTAGAAAGTGGAACTCTAGATAATAATAAAGATGATGATGATGATATTAATATTGATATTGATAAGGGTCCTCACCCCAACTAGGGGACAACAAAAGCCTGCAAAATTTAAAATGATTAAGAAACCGTACGGTATTTCAAGAAAACATATGCACAAGGTGTGCATCAGCCACTAACCATTCTCTTGTACTTGTTGGATACGTAAATCCAAGTTAGGCATGTTTAGTCTCCATCCATCAAGTATGATGGACAATTAAATGTAGCTGTAAACACATATCTAAAATTATTGCAATCCAAAATTTCAATAAAAAAAGAGTATGTAGTTCTAAAGAAGGGTGTTGTATGTCTGTTAAAGAAATGATCTTCGTCAAATACTGCATAACACTTCATGGTACTTTTAGCAAGTCAAGATGAAGTACCATGTGTAAGAAGCCATGGATTTTGCTTCTAATTATCAACAGTCACCATATATGATCATTTCATCACTTCGCGCCAAACAAATAATGGTAAATATCTTAACCCAAAAACAATTTGCATAAGGCCACTGTTCAAGAAATGTGGAACATCATTTTCAATGTTTACCACAAGAAATATGCAATATAAGAGATTCCACGTGTGTGCAGACGCATGATTGCATTTGTGGATCTTTTGGTCTTCATTTAATTGAATAATTGTGAATTACCTTATCAACGGCAAGGGTATAGACTTCAAGGTCACCCTTGGGACTGATATGGAATCTGGTGAAGGACTTGTAGTTTGCAATACGCAGGGACGAGAAGGCTTCATCAAAGTGGACGTGGAGCCAGTTGATGCATAGATACAAGTAGCATCCAAAGACCAGTGAGACCACTGGGGTGGAAAAGACCCAAAAGTACAAAAAGACTGAAGCATAATAGATGATTGCATGCCCACGAGAAAGAGATTCCAACCCTCTCTTGCATATGTTACTTCTGGTTACAGCCATGACCTGAAAAACAATGCAAATTTGTTAATTGAGGGGGAAAACCAGAATAGATCATAATCCTTTTTTAAAATGTAGAGAAGATCATATTCTTTGTTAAATATCTGATGAAACCGAACCTAACTCCCCAAAACTGAAAATTTAAAATGGGACAAGTAATTGCATAGAAATTAACGTGCTTATTACCATGTTTCTAATCTCTCAGAAAAATGGAAGGGCAAAACTGTCATAAGAATTCTTAAATGATTCTAGAACAAATTGTGGAATCAGATTCATATTTTTGTAACTTCTGAGATTCAAAACAGGCATAACCAATCTTTATCTAAATCTCCCAGAAAAGGTTGGAATATTCATGATACAAGAGATTCCAATCAAGTCTATTACCTCTGGAACATCGAAGGCAGACATTAGATACTTTATGCAGGCCGGATAAAGACCAAAGGTCCACTGTTCTAGCCGAGCTCGTAGTTCTGTGGGGTCCGGAAAATGCTCACTTTCCACCGAGCGGTACCATTCATATAGAGTATGATAGCCTAAAATACAATTCATTGCATGAGAAATTAAGTTTCCAGTTTTCTTCCCATTGATAAACCCAAGCAGGGATATGTTATATAAAAGTCTACACTGTTCAATTTCTAGATGAGCATATACTCAATAGTTCATGAGTGACCGAGCCAAAAAAGAATGAAGTGGTAAAATTTATGCTATTGAAAGTTGAAATGACACAGACACACACACACGGATGCATACGCACAAGCATCTACACACGTGCACGCACACGCATCCACACACGTGTGCACACACACACAGACAAACGCAAACAAGCGCACACATGCATGCGCACATGCACGCGCACGGACACACAGACATGCACACATCCACACATGCCACACACGCACACACACACACACAGAATCCAAAGTCTTTTAGCGCTAAAGTCGATCTGCCGTGGTCTTTGGTTGGAACTTAGCTTCTTATCTAACTATTTCTAGATGATCATAAGCTCAGAAGTACACGAGTGAATGAGCCAAAAAAGTATGAAAGTGGTAAAATTTGTGCCATTGAAAGTTGAAATCACACAGACACAGATACACACACGCGCACACACGCACGCACGCACACAAACGCACATATATGCACATGCATCCACACACGCGCACATGCACGCTCACACACAGATACAGACACGTGCCCACACATGCATGCACACAGACACGTGCACACACACATGCACATGCACGTGCACACACACACACACATATACACAGAATCCAAAGTCTTTTAGGGCTAAAGTCAATTAGCCGTGGTCTTTGGTTGGAACTTAGCTTTTTTATCCAACACCGCAAATTAAAATGAGAGAAAACAAACTTATTGAAAGTGCATACCTGAAGTTGCTAGTAGCTTGTGGCGAATACATGTCTCAATGCCAAGTTCCAAAAGCATCATGAGTATGATGGCTGCAGTCATATGGGCAGAAACGTGAAGGATGCCTATGATGGCCCTTCTCTTTCTAGAAACTTTGGAAGGAACAAAAAGAAAAGAAGCCACCAACAGACCTATGATCCCCCAAAAAGACACGTAGGAATGTTCCAACATGGATGTAAATGCACGCCACATTATAAGGAAGAAACTTTTCAGGTGACCCGACCATGTATCATCCTGCAATATATGATCCAGTTGACACTGGAGTATATCCAGACTGCTGGGTAAGACACTATCAGAGATACAGCGCAAACATTTTAATTGTAACCAGTGCTTTTTGTTTAGGTGGTCTAATAGGACCAAATTGCACCCTGAGGCTTGCAGCCAAAGCACCACGTTAGGGGGATCTGTTCGACCAGAAAACTCTCAAATTATCTTTGTTCATCTCTAAGATGAAATTTTAGAAAAGAAAAATGTGAACTGGAGCTCAAAGGCGGCTTTAAATCAATTTCGGTTCCGATGTTAGAGTTGTTTTTAGAATGTTTCCATGTCCTTTCATGGACAATCCAATCTAGTTTCAACAACTCTTTCTTCCCCTTCGAAATTGACCACAAGATGAGTCACAGATGATTTGAAACATTTTTGGTCATAAATTCCCCTTTCGAAGGTGTTTTTCCCAGGGACCCAAACATAAAATTTTGTCCCTTAGAACTGCCATGCATGTCCCCTTTCTAATAGAGGGTTTTTTTGCTTACTTTTGTATTTTCCCATTTTAGATGTTTATCACTCCACAAAAATCAAAGAAATGCAAGTTGCTGCCCCTTAAAAAGAGCTGTCTCTAACAAGCATATGAAATGCTTAAGGAAGCTTTTTTTACAATATTCCTAACATAGGTCAACTGGGTTTATCAAGTTGAACATGAGAAACTACAAAAGAAATAATAATCATAAGAACATATCACCTGTGGAAACATGGAAACCACCAGTATAAAGTATATGATGCCTCCGATGAAGTCAAATTGCCAATTCTTCTTTCGAAACTTTAAAATATTCCCCAAGGCAATCTGGAATAAAACAATAAGCCTGAATAAGATTGTACAATGTGTCTATCTTGCTCATAGGCAACACAAAGCAAATCTGGGTATCAACAAGCAAAATCACAAACCCAGTTAGGAGAATAATTTGAAATCTCTTTTAACAAATGAAACGCTCCTCAATGTCAGAATCCCACCACCACAGCAGAATATATAGGGAACAAACACCACAGTACAATGTATGATGGTATATCCACTCCAACCGAGATCTACCATCAATTATGTTTTTGAGCACATGTTATAACATTTGTGTTTAGGGACAAGTTGGAGTCAAAAGAAAGATCCACCATCAATATTAGCCGGATGGTTGGAGATCAACTGTATTTGGTGAATGCCCCTCTTGACAGTTAAGATAATCTTCAACCGTCAGGCAGGAACAAATGGTGAGTGTTGAGTTGAGAGTTGGGAATAGCATATACCTCAGCCCATTGTGTTAAGGTATCCCCTCATCATTAAGTTATACATGCTCTTGACTTGAGCTGATTAAGAAAGAACAGAATGTCCACATATGCAGCAGAGTTTCACTACATACCCTACTTGAGTCTTCATATGAAGGATACGCCACCTTGTTCTCATAAACATTTCCACAAAATTTCTTGAAGTTGGAAAAGACATGAGTAGGATGCAAAAATGCCCCACCGCAACCATTAACAAGTAAATGCTCCACATAAACTGGTTTATTATTCGATGGAACAGCAGAATGACGCATATAATGGTGCAAATCCCCTGCCATACGAAGCTTACATCTTCCCTTCAGGTAATCGCATATCAAGTGGGACACGTTCTTGCCACTGGTGTCACTCCAGTACCAATCGAGGAGCCAATTGGGCTCATGTGTCATAACAATCACAGAGTCATTTTCTCCGACCTGCAAATTTGACATAAAGCTTGGGGTGTCACAAAGTTGAACCAGGCCATCAATATCAATAGCAGTTTTACCAATTGAAAACAAAGATCTCATGCTTCCATGAATCAGTAGAATCATTGTTAGACAATATTAAGCAATACGCAATCAGAATTGATCCTTAAATGATAGTCACCACCAGAATTATTTATTATTATTGTTATGATAAGCAACTTTCAATGATTATGGAGTATATTTTTTTGAATTGAATCACACCAAGGTGGGAAGTCTCCAATTCACTGTGGGATGAAGTGTCTTCATTGGTTGGTTCTCTACGAACATGTTGGACAAATTAAAAACTCCGAAAGAGGTATTGATGATTTGGGGAGGATCAGAAAGGGCTTTGGATTAAGTTGGTGGAAAGTGTAGGTATATGTGAGTAGATCTGGCAAGGAGTGGGTGATTTTAAGGAAGGCATTAGGTTTTGCTTGGGGGTGGTTAGAAAGTTGGGTCCTGGAACAAGAAGAATGGAACATTATGTTAACTTCAAGGCTCATGAGTCACTAAGATGATTGTTCATCCCCACATTAGAGATTGTGGTTCCTTTGAGAAAGCCAGGGATAAGATGCGGTCCCCAATATTCAGAAGGGATTTAAGAGATGACAAAAGCCAGAGAGAAATGTCTTCTGTTTTGGGTAGAGGAACTTTATAGATTAAATTAGTCGGATTTGGCCATGGGAATGTTACAGGGATTCTCAATGTCGTCTGTGTCTGATGCAGTACTCTTCTTAGACACCTTTGTTTGGTACCATGGTTTTCTGCTTTGAAGATCCCAACACCACCCACATTTTGATGTTCAAGAAGAATAACATTTAATCACCTGCAACATGGACCTCTCTTACGATCATGTAAATCATCTCTTGGAAGACAATGAAATATTTTGATCCATTATTTATTCAGCAGCTTGACTTGGTTCATTTGCCTCAGTAGATGCTCTTGCGGATAGTTAATCTTCCAGGCCTTTCCTCTCTAGAGGGTATCTCTGAAAATTTTCTCATATCTATCCCCGGTTATATTGCTCAAAAGTTTCCTAATAAAAAAGGTAAAAGAATGTATGACACTGTCAGAGACTTGAGCGAAACTTGGGGACTCAAGCACATCTTTGAAAGAATGGGAGTCTTTTTACATGCAAGTGTGACATATACCAAGTACATGTGGATGGGCCCAGAGCAAAGACAACGAGACGAGTAATGAGCATGGGCTTTGTACCTATACCCAAGTCAATTTTTCATATACCACCCATCCACCCACCTGAAAATCTATCACCAACTGGTCACAATAGCCTTTAAGCCTGAAATTCGAATTACAAATCTCAAATCTAAAAGGTTTATGCCTTCCCACTGCAAATTGTCTGTCCAACAAGAAATGGACAGCACCAGCCTCAAGAGAAGTCTTTATGATATCTCTGGAAAGTGCAACTCAAGATGTCCTGGGATAGAAAAAGGAAACATATACAACATGGTGATAACTAAAGTACTAGACCAATTGGCTATGAAATCAAGTTTAAGAAGCCACACAAAGGGATAGATCAATATGCCCTTTCCAATTCGTACATTGAGAAAATCTCCGCTCATACTCATGGTTGTTTGACTCACCTTGCATCTCAATGGAAAACCAGTTAGCATTGAAGTTCCCTTAATAACCACATAGACTTTCAAGCCATACACCGGCAAGGTTAACAGTTGCAACACCCTCTCAATAGATGAGATAGATACCAACATAGAAAATTTCTCGTGCACACCACAAGATTGTTTGTATTTGTAGATTATGTTTAAAGTTAAACCACCTGATGAGCCCAACAATAAGAAAACCCTCCATATCCATTTTTCATGCAAAGAATACAACTGATTAAACAACACCAACTTTTGCCTCCTTAAGTATCACTGGTTCCACAAAATTGTTCATTGATGATGATCATGTTATATTTCCTATTGCTTTATCATGAACTTCTTGGTAAGAAAAATTAGCTTCTGTAAATACTTGAGCACAAATTCCATATACGTATTGAAAGTCCACATGTTCAAGAATAATTTCTAATATTTTCACCCATGGGAAAAAGTAACAGTAAGATAGCATATTTGTGAATGCAACTAGCCCATATAGTATATACCAGAGGAATCAGTATCTCAAAATATCAAATAACCACACCTCCATATGTTCCAATTCACAGTGTATCCCAAGGCATTCAAAATCACCAGCATAAGCAAAAAGTAGACTAAGAAGATTTTAGTATGTTAAGAACAAGGTGTTTTCACACATTTTCATTGCGTAAGTATCTGCAGTGTTATGGTTTCAGTGCAAGGCCAACTTGAAGTGGCAATGAGTACTCTTGGAACTGAGAAGCATCTTTAACATATGCTGATCAGCTTAGTTTCCATAAATCAAACAAAATCCAACCAAAAATTAATTAAAGAAAAATAAAAATGAGAAGCATTACATGTGGGGGTAGGAATTCCATGCCAGACCTTGTTTTTTGTCAATTCTGCAAAAAATTTAAATTGATAGACATCAATATCCCCGTGGAGTGCTTGATCAAGACCAAATATCCACCATCCTTGAGGAAGTTGCAATGCAAAATAACTCTTTTTCTGAGGTAGAAACCACCCACCCAACCAACTTTTATGACATATATACCTCATGAAAGTATGAAGCCCATCAAACCAATCTGCAGCAAACGCACAATCATCTTGACAATTGCACAACTACCAAGTATCACAAACATCCTTAGACCATAATAGAATAGTAAAAAATGAATAGTACAGTATGCATTCATCTGCTATGAAGTATGAAGTATGAAACTTTCAGCCACGTTTGAAACTGAAGAGTCTAATCATGCAACTTAGTGTCTAAAGGGAAATCCCTGGAACTTATGATAAAATAATATTTAATAATCATGCTGGACAGTATGAAATACTGTGTAAGTACATCAAAAGCATATTATACTATTAGAAAAAGTTTGATAAGGGCAAAAATAACCGCTACTTAGCTTGGTTTATGACCACATTACCATGATTGCCAGGAATTATAAAGCATTGAGGTCCCTTATATTGCTTTAGCGTTGATATCTCCAAGGGAAGCTCTGGTTTATTCACTGCTATATGCTCGGGCCTATACCAAGATGGCGGTTGTAAAGCATATTCAAAAGGGCAAAAGAGACGCCTCTCATATGTAAATGGAGAAGGATTTGGGTACCTGAATGCAATAAAATAATCAACACATAATAGGACCACACAGTATGCCAACAATATGCAGATGATACAATGCAGTAGCATTCTTTCACCTTACAATTACAGGAACACATGTTTAAGGACAGGAATAATTTTTTTGCCTGAAACTTATCCATCATATGGCTTTCTCTTTTCTTTTCAGGGACTTTCAACAATAGGAACTTCAAATTCTTATTAAAATCGAAAAATATGTTTAACACAGGCAAAGGTAGAAAGGAAAAAGAAACAAAAAGCTACTAATAGATTAAATAAAGAACCATTCAAAATGGAATCCTCCATCTCTCCATTGTCTCCCCCTTCCCTTGTTCCTCTTCGCCTCATTTCCATCCCTCCACCACCTTCTTCCATTCTCGCTCAACAGTTTCGGTCCTCTCTCGTTGTTCCAGCCTCAAAGAGATGATTCCTTCGGCATTGAAAAATGGGCAAAGAGTTGCTGGCAGGAACCTGGTCTGGTTTGTAGGAAACTATCATGTGGCTCTTATCTCTTCTCCTTCTCATCGGCAGAGAGCGCCTCTAGAACCCTCAAGTCTTCTTCCAAATCTTCTTTCCGCAGGGCTTCTCTCCACCTCTCCAGATGGTCCAAGAACGTGGGTGCTTTTCGCCGCCAGAAAGTCTGGCTCACGGCCTCCGCCATTCCTTTACACTCATGGTGCGCTGACACCTTCAAGGCCACTGGTGACGCATCCGACACCTTTGTAGCTGTGCACTTGAAATCTCTGGAGAGTCTCCCCCTTGGGTCACTACTCATGACGTTGAGTTCTTGGAACCTCATACTATCCTTGCTTTCATATGGGTAGAGGTTGCAGGGGCCTTCTACCAATCTTGGTCCATGGCTTCTCCCCCTTCACCTCGCTTCGTTTCTCCGGGTGGGTCCGTTTCAGGTGGCCACCACACCCTTGTTCCTCCTCCCGCTATCGGTTCCCATCTGGACCTCGACGCTTCCAATCAGTGGACTTGGTATCCCGAAAATGCCGCAATCCGTCTGTCCAGCACCGTCAGTGGCCTCAGCCCTTCGCTCCATCATCACTGACGCATCGGGCCCATCCTCCTCTACCTATTCCACCTCCTCCACCGCCTCCAACACTTGCGCCACCTCTGCTCACAACTTCCCGTCACCTTTCTGGTTTGACCACGATTCATGGTTCGTCATCCTCGGACACACGTCCCCGTGTTCCTGTTGCTCACGATTGCCACCCTCATTCGTCGACTGAGATCGTGGCACTGTCCAGTCAGTCCATTGAGGACACGCGTCACTCGAGCACTCTTGCCCTAGCCTTACCCTCTCTAGCTGTTGGCACCACGCAGCCACCTTCCTTTATTACCCCTGCTGACGCGTCGACCTTCGTACCCTCCTTGACTGCAGCATCGTCTCTACCTCGTTCGGAGGGCTCCTTTTCGGCTGCTCACTGTACTAACACCCCTATTCTCTCCTACCTTCCTTTTGCCCCCCTTACTAAGAATGTGTGCCCACCTCATGCCCCGGTGTCTTCTCATCCCTCTGCCAGCCTTTTCTTTTTCGAGTCTCTTCTGTTTCCCTTTCCTTCTTTCTCAGTCAGGGCTCCTAGCCTCCCCCGATTGCGGCGATGCCAACACCTCCTCCCCAGTCATCCTCGATTGCCACGTCCCTGCCCTCACCTAACCCCTCTCCCTTGATACTCCCTCGCAACGTGTCTCCTTCACCTTTGTCGTTGTCAGTAGACGGCCTCCAAACTCTTTCTATCCCTTCTCCTCCCACCTTTCGTCCAACCCACCAAGCTCTCTCACCTTTACCCCTCACCCCACCTTCCTCACCTTTCCTGTCTCCCATCCCACTGACTGTGCTCTGCTTGCCTCCGCCTCTCATCGATTTGGATCCCCCTCTTCCGGTCCTCTCTCCTCCCCCTCCTCTCGGATCCTTGCTCGGGCTGACTGTTTTTCTTGTTCTCCCTTCTTCTCCCCGACCCTCCCCTGAACCTAATCCTGCCCCTCTCCGCCTTCTTGACCATGGCTCAAGCTCTATTTCCTTGAGCCCTATCTCCTTACTTGCTCCGCCCCCCCCCCTCTCCCAACTTTTGATACCCCTATCGCTTCCCCTGCTGGGGTTGAAGGGCCTTTTTCGCCTCGGCTTCAAGTATCTAGTTTTGCGGTCTCTAATGACCCTTTCGGTTTTGTTTCGGCCCTTCTACGACCCTCTTCAGCGGATGGCCTGCCTCCTGTGGCCTCGTCGGCACTACCTTCTCTGACGCTCTCGTCCTCGACCACTCCAACGCCTTTTACGGTTGCCGTTGTAGCCTCATCGTCTAAAGATCAAGTTTCCTCAGTAGAGGTCAACTCCTTCGGCGACCCTCTTTCTCCTCCGTCTGTAAGCTCCAATTATGCAGACGGAGTGGTTACTAAGCAAGGGAACATCCTCAACGTGATGAACGTCATGGGCTTCCCTCTTACTGGGCCTGATGGGCCTTTCCTTGAATTTTTCAAAGCAGGTATTTTACCTAGACCACGGGTCAGCAAGCAGATCAGTTGTGAGGTCTCCAACCTTGCTAGCAGTTCCCTCACTCCTCTACCTCTTCCTGTGACCTCTTATGGGACTTCTCTGAAACGGTCCCCCAGGATTCCCCTTCCCCCCAACTGTGTCTGATGTAAATCCTCTCATGAAACATTCATGGGCTAAGCTTGCCCCAAAAAAAGCAAGCGGTAAAGGATTTTTGTTTTAAGCATCGACCCACCATTCTAGCTCTTACAGAGACCAAACTCCCCTCACCAACTTTGGCTCAGATTAGGCAAGTATGGGGTAGACGTCGTTGCCAGTGGCTGGCTCCCCCTTCGGAGGGGGCCTCAGGTGGTATTTGGGTAATCTGGGATCCCACAATGCACTCGCTCTCCTCTTCCCTTGTGGCAAGGTACTCTGTCTCCCTACTTCTCACAAGGATTCCCGATGGTTTGAACTAGAAATTTTCTGCTATTTATGGGCCCAATCAAGACAATCTTAGACCATTGCTTTGGGAAGATCTTAACTCTGTAGCTTCCCTACCTCATTCCATTTGCTGCATAGGGGGATATTTCAATGTAACCAGATGGTCTTTCGAAAGAAACAACTCCAACAGAATTACTCCTGCTATGGAACTCTTCTCTGATTTCGTAGCCCTCAATAACCTGCTCGACTTACCTATTTAGGAAACCTAGTTCACCTGGTCCAACTATTCCTCCTCCCCCTCTCTCTCCAAACTTGACCGCTTCCTTGTTAGTACGAAGTGGGATTCGTATTTTTTGGGAACCCATGTAGTTGCCCTTCCTAAACCGACATCAGACCCCTGTCCCATTTTGCTCAACACTAATCCTATAGCAAGGGGAGCCAAACCTTTCAGATTTGAGCTCACATGGTTGGAAGAGCCTACTCTTTGGATCTCTTTCCCACTTGGTGGCAATCTTGGTTTACTCTGTTCAGGGTTGGGATGGCTTCAGAATCCAACGGAGACTGCAGCTTTTGAAAAGTAATCTCAAAGCCTGGAGTCATCAACTACCTCGCTCTTTTAGACCATAGAAACTTTCTATGCTTCAGGCCATCAAGTCCCTCGACACTCTTGAAGAATCATGACCTCTGTCGGTCTCGGAAACCCAGTCCAGAGAGCAATTGGAATTCAACTACCATTCTATTCTCAAGAAAGAGATTTTTTGGTACCAAAGGTCTAGAATCAAGTGACTAAAGGCATGTGACTTGAACACTGGTTTTCTCCACAAATAAGTAAATTGCAGGCGAAGAGACAACACCATCTCTCATCTTTTGATGGGAGACAACCTTCTAGATGAACCCCAGGGCATAGAACAGGCTATCCTCTCCTATTTCATAAATATGTTTTCAGCCCCCCAAGGTCTTAGGCAGGTTATAGGGGACCTCTCTTTCCTCTCTGTCCTTAGTGATCAAGCGATCTGGCTGGAGAGACCTTTTGACGAGGCGGAGATCCTCGAGGCCATCTCTCAATTGGGCTCCGATAGGGCACCCTGGCCCAGACAGGTAACCCCCTGGCCCCTTTTAAAGTCTTCTGGGAATCCTTTCGAGATGATTTCCTTTCTCTTTTTGAAGAAATTCACTCTAAGGGAGTCAGACACAAGGCCATGAATGCCTCCTTTATCACTCTTATTCCTAAGATTGAGGGCGCCAAAGTGCTCAAGGATTACCGACCCATTAGTCTGGTTAACTCTTACAAAATTTTATCCAAAGTGCTTGCAACCCGTCTCAAAGCTGTCCAACCTCTAGTTATCTCCCCCAACCAAAGTGCTTTCATCACTGATAGACAAATTCACGATGGAGCTTTGGTTGCGCATGAAGTTGTCCACTCTAGACATCTCACTAAAGCACCGGGTCTCATTGTCAAATTGGACTGGGAAAAAGCCTACGACCATGTGGATTGGGATTTTTTGGAAGAAACCCAACTTTGAATGGGATTAGGGTCGAGGTGGAGCAGCTGGATGAAGGCTTGCTACTCCCAACCTTTCTTCTCCATCCTCATTAATGGAACCTCGAAAGGCTACTTTCCCTCCACCAGGGTGTTGAGACAAGGTCACCCCCTCTCCTCCTTCCTTTTCGCCATATCCGCAGAGGCGTTTAGCCAGTCGATTTGTAGGGTGTTTTCTGCTGGTCTTTTAAATGGCTTCTCTCTTGCCAACCAGGGCCCCACAGTCAACCCACCTTCAATATGGGACGACACCCTAGTTTTCTACAATGCCACCGAAGAAGAGAGTGCAAATCTTTTCCTGTTCCTTCGATACTTTGAATTTGTCACTGGGTTCAAAGTTAACTTTGAAAAAACTAAAATGATGGGAGTGGCCTCGGACTTTGAAACTCTCAAGTCCTTTGCAGACAGTTGGGGTTGTGGGGCTGAGAAGTTCCCCTCCAAGTACCTCGGTCTACCCCTCTGCATTGGCAAACCTAAGAAGCGAGACTGGTCCCACATCATTGACAAGGTGGACAGGAAGCTCGCAAGTTGG